TATATATATGTATATATGTCAATACGTCGTATTTAACATTCCTGAATAGGCAGTGACCAAAACTGGAAAGTAAAATTTGCATTCCCTGCTATTTACATTTGACTCACTCACACATGGTAAATATTTCCAGAGTCAAAACCAAAGATAAGCAGGTGTCTAAACAAAAAAACATTAACACCAATTATCCCTGTAATGAAACTGATGGCTGCCCAGTTCTTTACATGAAAACAAGCTGGATTCAATCTGGCCAAGAACATTCTGCTGTTCTTGTTGTAATTAGGAAAAACTCCCTCACCGATCGAAATTGTGCCCAGAATACGAAACAGCAAAAACATTACTTGGTACATGACTCAAAACAATAAAATATTCATAGCTACATTTAGTTAGACAATACTAACATTCAACTTGGTCACGCACTTTGGATTATAAGATTGCAAATGGATTTCATTTTCTCTTTTTGCACTTTGCAATCAATGCTATCAGAGGCGACCTGGCAGCAGGGTCATTCTGTATATTATAAACAGAATAAACAAAAATCTGTCTAAAACTGTATTACTCTGATCTATTTGCCCTTCACTCTCTAACAAACATTCCAGCTTTTACCAGACGGGCCTATTTTAAACCAGGCACTAACAGCTCCACATGACTAAACAGCATAAGCTAAATAAGCACATGGCCAATGTGGGGTGTCACAATACAAACTTGCAACTTTTACACCTCTAGTCAACATACACTCACCAACCACTTCATCGGGTACGCATGTTGAACTGTTTGTGAAGTCAAATACCTAATCAGCCAATCAACATGGCCCCAACTCAAGTTAAGGGACTTTGAATGGCTGCGTAGTCACTGGTGCCAGGCTGTCTGGTGTGAGTATTTCGGAAACTGCTGATCTATCAGAATCCCACATAACCATCTCAAGGTTTACAGAGAATGAAAAAGACAAAATATCCAGTGAGGCAGTAGTCTGGATGAAAATGCTTTGATGTTGTCAGAGGTCAGAAAAGAATGGCCAGGCTGCTTGGAGCTGACAGGAAGGAACAGTAACTCGTTACATCCAATGAATGCAGCAGGGGAAAGTGATATAGTGTGATTATGATACTTTTGGCAATATATATTTATATATCTTTAAAAAAAAAAAAAAAAAAAGAACGGAGCAACATTATCATGACTGTAGCTTACAGGCAGCAGCATTTATTTATTAGTGCCAACAAAATGAAGGGCTTTTCATCCTTGTTTTTCAGCGAGCTGCTGTCATTGATGACACACTACCTATTTCAAAGCATAAATCTATTTCCACAGGCTACCATTAGTGCAATATGCTTTGTCACTACTATTGCACAAAGTCAAATGCAAGCACAAAAGTAGCCTAGGAAGTGTTTTGTCTGAAACTTTTAAGTAAAAGTATAAAATAACTGCTTAATCCTTTAGTTAAACAAGTGGAGTCACTTGTTTTACATTTGGGTCACACATCAGCAGCTTTTCGTGTCTCCTTCTTCATAGCCTGGTTGGAGGATGATGTTTATGTCATGTAAACATTTATACTGGTATTTTCATGGACAATTTAATATGGCACAGTCCTTGTGTGCAGAAGATCATCTCTGAATGCACAAAACATCAAACTTTGAAGCTGATGTGTTACACCAGCAGAAGGACACACTGGGTGCCACTCCCATTACACAAGAACAGAGGCTACAATTCACTTAAATTGGACAACAGAAGACTGGAAAAATGTTACATGGTTGGATCAGTCTCGATTTCTCCTGCTACTTTAGGAAGGTAAGGTCAGACGATATAAAACCATGGTGGTTCTGTAATGGTGTTGAAAATTGGACAGAAGTTTTTGTAAAATATAAAAACTTCAGTCCAGGGTCTTTCTGCATTAATGTTTGTAAATTATTTCGCAAAAGTAGAATATACTGCAGTGGATTAGAAGTCCTTGAGTCAATTACAGATGATGAAAAGAGGTGTTTTAGTGTTACCGCCATAGGATTTTCTGCTGCCGTAACACCAAGCAAATACGTATTTCAACCAAGTTCGTTTAGGCTGTAACAGAAAACACTATGTGTCAAAGTTTACTGCGCACTGTCTTACAGGAAGGCCTGTGAATTCATGTATTGCAGTTTTCTTTACAATAACCGAGGGCAAGACTGGCACAGAGAGTGACAAACGGTGGGTGGTAGTGACAAGCTGTTCGATTCTTTTGTATGCGCATGTAGGAAGACAAAGCAGAGTCTGACAATCAACCTGTAGCAACGGGACTAAGGGTTTGAAAAATGACAAACTGTCACACTCTGTTGAAGGCTTACCCCACATGGCTGGAAGATAAGCCCATCGACTTCATGGCTGACCTGGGATGTGAAACTGCCTTCTAGGAGCTGGAAAAAAAACACAAGAAAAAAGCCCAGTTTGAGTCAAGTAAAACAGATTAATGATAAGATTGACAACTGACAGCTTTAGCTAAACTACAGGAAATTACATTGATTTATGAAGTTTTCTAAAGCTATAGAGCTTGCCAACACTTACCTAACACTCTAAAAGCAATGAAGTATCGAGTTTCAGCATAACCGGAAGGCTTATATTTGGCAAATCACTCAGAGTTACAAGGACAAGCCTGATATGTTATTTTCTCCTTGTAGCCTTGAGACTAAGCACTAATCTTTTTTGACTGATAATGCATCTCTGAGAGATTAATACAGATAACTTGACAGACTAGGTTAAGGACAAAAATAGCAAGAAATCATTAGGTCCCAGATGACGTGAAAGACAGCATTTCATCTCTTCTATGAACACCAACCACTGTCGCTGTTGCTAAGAAAAGGAGAACAATGGCACCGTACTTGAGGAGGGATGCCCAGGGGAGACAGAGTTATTGTACAGCAAAAGCTAATTTTCTACATCATGAAGCACATCAACTGCCATGGCAACGACAGCAAGGATATTAGCATTTCTAAATTAATGCTGAATATACCAGCTGCATTGGGGAACATATGAGGAAATCTCCCAATTCAAGAGCAATTTAAATTTTTGTCCTGTCTTTCAAATAAATACTGTTACCCATCTACAGTCGGTTTTAGGTTTTTACACTGGATGCTTCCAGAGCTGCAGTAAAAACACAGTTTACCTATTAGATGACTCTTGGAAACATCAATGGAGGGTAATGAGGAGAAATGGGGAGAAAGACCACGGTTTCATTAAGTGTGGGTTTTAGTATCTAAGCATCAAAAACAAGGATTATCAGGGATATGCTTACTGGCTTCCACCTTGTGTTTGAAAGCCATTAGCCAATGAGTGTGAGGTTTCACAGTTATTCATGTCTCTTGTCATCAAATCACATTTCAAGATGGTGACGGGAAAAAAAAAGCTCATCTCAAGGCTATTAAACTCAAAAAACTGGTGAATGATGTCACAGTAGCTACGTTAATCTTTTATACGGTCTATTGGTATGACCTAACAAAGATTTCCTGTATCAGCTTCCACTTTTCCACTGCCTGTCCATTAAGTGGTGTAGAGATATCTATTTATTACCCATAGCATAGTCAGTTGTTTCCCCTTTTAGTCAGCTGATGGAGGAATCCAAATGCTGTTTCAAACATATCTATGTAAAGCATAAAGAGGGAATAGCACACCTCTTTAACTACAGAGCAAGACAAATGGTCTTGGTTCAGTCAGATATATCCTGAAAAGAGAAGCTGGGGTGAAGGTGAGTTGCAAAGAAGCTTGCAGTTTTTGTAGTTAAAGCAGATTCATGAGCTCACTCTGAATGAGATTTCTCAAGTGGATGCTTAGAAGGATTTCTCTGATCCAACAACTGATCTGCTGAAATCATGGCAGAACTTAACTTTTCGAATCCATAATACTCAAGCAAACTTTTGAAAAACTCAAAAACATAATTAGTTTAATACCTATTAGGATGCCTTCCACGAAACATGTAATACTCTTTACTCTTGTTATTGCACACTAAACTTCGATTTATTTCATAAACCTGCATATTTTGCAGTACAATTATAGTGCCTCATTGCAGGTTTAATGTAGAGAATGGAAGCATACAACTCTGTAACTGTGAAAATTAAACAACTTTTAATTGCTTTAATCCAAACACTGTGTAAGCAGAGAAATAAAATGCCAAAAAAAAAAAAAAAAAATCATGTTCGGTCAAGCATAAAAATGAAGACTGAGGCTTTTGTGTGCTTGACAGGGGGGAGGTCAATGTGAAGAGGCCAGCCAGGGTTCGCCGAGTACTCCATCTTCAGTGATATTTGAAAATGTAGAAACTGAAATGCAAGACCTTTAAACGAATGTTTCAAGAGTGAACAAGAGAAACGAGATGAAACTGCAATCGCATGGCAAATCAACCTTCCACAAAAATAAAACTGTGCAAAGACTTTAATGTGATGTTGAGATGTTAGTGTTGTGCTCGCTGTGAAATATTGCCAATATAAAGTCAATGTTCACAGTGGCAGAAAGCGAAACCTACTAATGCTGCTGCTACTGCTGGGAAAGGGAGAAATCGATATAGAAACGTGTCATGTGGCATGGAAAATTCTGCCAGTTGTCAAACCTAATAAATGATTGCACAGCTACACAGCAGAACTGAATATAAGCATTTCAGGGCCAAACACTAGCAGAAAATACAAAATCGGCTGAGAAAGAGGGCTTGCAAAGCAAGAAATGTCACACTCTCTGTTGCAAAAATATGCACTATATGAATGATCAGCTATGTGACTATTTATGAGAGGTGTGACTCATATAGATGAACCCACAAGGAATTCTTTGCAGTTCCTCTCAGTTCATCGTGGCCCACATCTTTGTGTCAGTATTGTATTTTAATTCACTGTGCTGGCCAAGAGCAAATGCATAAAAAATACGGAAACATCAGATGTTTTTTTAGGAACCATCTTAAAACAGAATAATGAAATTGTAACATGATGTATCAGTCATTAAAAAACCCTCCAAAACAAAACAAAAAAGTCTGTGTTATCATTATCTGCTGTAGTTATGTTGGAGGAAGCTTCTTATGCTGTTTTTGCAAACCTTCACTGATCTTTGGCATTTGGTATGTTCATGCACAGTGTAAATATATGTCGGCAAGCAGGAAATGGCTTTGGTCAATAAAACAGAAAGCAAATGCATTAGTGCATTGCAGTAGATATCAGGTATCATATCAAAGCCATCAAGATGTGCTACAGCAGAAAGCAATGCATTTTAGCCATGCAGAAAGGTACTGAAAGGTGGAACAGGGGTGACCTTTTATAATATATTCTATCATGTCTTCGCTGTAATGACAGACAATAAAGTGAGGTCATTAAATTTTAATTAACATTGCCTGCATACATCTCCACTTATTGTCCAGCCTTGACATTTCAATAAGCAGCCATGAACATTGTAAAGTGCCTGCTGACTAGGAGATAGCAAAGTGTTCAGTAGATATGAAGACTGCCAACTATGATTAGAGCCAAGATGAGCTAACACACACTTGTAGTATAGGAGATGAGAGATTGTCATCTGTCCTGGTGCTGCTTGGAGACAAACCAAATTATAAGCTCAATCACAAATACGAGAAAGTGTGGAATGAGACAACTAAATTTCCACTCAGCGCAGGGCTCAAAAAGCCTGCTAAAACCAGAAGACCATAGAATTCTTATATAGACGGTCTCTCCTGTTAAGGTCCCGCTGACCTGAGTATTTTGTCCAGCATTAGACCAACAGATTGAGCTGCTCTGTGATCTATGATGATATACTCTGTCACAAAAATTCTCTTTGAAGAGAGCAGATTCTGCTGTACAATACATCAGGAAAAAATCTGCTGTGAAGAAGGACACTTATTCACTTATTGCATTTTTAAAAAGAAATGGGGATATAAAGATACTGATATTAAGACACAAATATAGAAATTACCTGTTATACCACATGCATGGCACTATTTTTTCCTGTCATTTTTAAATAAAGGCTTTTATCACCTTTTATTTACTGAAAAAAAATATTCATGGTGCCAAAACATTCTGACATCCTTATTATTAGAAGTTAAAGGTTAAAATAACAATATGCTTTATAATTAGTGTTTGTCCTTGAGGTGTTTCTTTTTCCACAGAACATCTGCAAAGTCAGTTTTATTTTTATTTATTTATTTTTTTTACCTCTACTGCTCACATATTGCTACGATTCTTTCCACAGTGCTGCAACCAGCAGTTAGGACAGTGGAGTATGTAAAGCTGGAAGCAAAAACCTGCTTTCACACACTTGTATGCACAGTAAAAATGAAAAGGGGGCCCACTCGTGAAAAAACTCAAAACATTTCATTCCACTACTTGTGGTCAAAAGGCTCCACAGTCAAGTTTATCCATTTGGTAGCATAAAAAAACAAAAAATCTGACAGCTTCTATGAAATTTTACCAGCGACTAGAGAGTGTGACTTTTATCAATATTCTCCTCTTGCGGTTATCTATTCTTTTGTTCATCCACTGATCTCTGTCCTGCTGTTATACCACTTGATTTACACAATAACTCATCACCTTTACTGAAATGGATGCTATGGAAAATGGTATGATCCTTGGGTCATTTGCAGCATAAAGCGTGTAGCAGCATTCAGTTCTTCTTCAAAGATGATGAATTTGCATTCAAATAGCATGTCTATTATACCACTAGAGGAGTTCCACAAAATACTTTTTCGTTTTTTCAGACGATGTGTTCCAGAAAAGTAAGAGAAGTCATTAGCCTTAGAGGGGCGCAGATGCATTTATCTAAAGCAACGGCAAAGTGTTCACTCCCTGCCATATCTGCAAAGAAAGTGGAGCAACATCAGTGCTCTCCAGAATGATGAATGAGTCACAGCAGATCACACAAAGCTTGACAACCATGCTGACATGGAGAAGGCAGGTAGCCAGACTAAAAAGAAATGGTGTCTTTATGAAGGAATGGCACGTAGGCGGTAAGATCTGGGAGTTCCATTTCAGTTCTCTTGCCATCTTAGCACACCCACCCACCACCTTCGGCAAGCACAGTGAACCCTGGATGGAGTGATGAGCAGAAAAGAAGACTTCCACTCACACGTACTCCTACAGTAAGGAAGTTCCTTGGAGTGATAATGCAGAGAGGGGGCAGCGACCCTGCTTTTATGGTTAAACCTCTTTAGGAAGGAAACACAGAGCTGAGCCTGGGACAAGTAGGTTAAGGTGAATAGCAAAGCCCCATTAAGAGATCAGGACTTTATTGTAGACTGCACGGCAGAGACAGGACAATGAAGACGCTCGGGGAGATAAATCAACCAGTAATATACAGAGCAGTTTTCTCCCCTTGAGAGAAACTGAATGACAGAGTGATGGAAGTCAGACCATTTTCTTTACCAGTGTTTCACGTTCGAGCTCATTTCACAAAGGGA